GGGAAAGAGGAGGGGAGAGGGAGGGGGAGAGGGAAAGAGGAGGGGAGGAGGGACAGGCAGGGAGGGGTGTGGGGGGAGGAACCAGGGGTGGAGGGGGCCGCACTCGCTCACCTGCTTCACCCACACGTTAGTCGTCATCATCTGGTTCTTCTCATCCTGGGACACAGAGAAGGGCCATTGTTGTAACTCCCTTGGGTGACTGGAGCCTCCCTGTCTCTCTCTCCATCTCCCTCCCCGCTTCCTCCTTCTCTCTCTACTCCCCCTCTCCCCCTCACCCCCCACTCTCTGGGCCCTGAGTATTTTCCTCACCCACAAAGACAGGCCTGTGCTCAACACGGGAAGCAGGCGACCTCAGAAGGAGTGAGTGCCCCGTCCCTGGAGGCAACCAAGCCCAGGATGGTCAGCCCGAGGGGATTTAGAATGTGGGGACAAGGACCCTGAACCCTCCCAGAAGGAGAGTGGGGACAAGGCTTGCCTGACTTCTCAGGCGGCCAGGGCCCGGCGCTCCCCCAGCCACACAGACGTGTGAGATGGCGAGTGTGATGGCTCCCAGGCTGCTGCTGGAGGACAGCCGCCCTCCGGGGACCCTGCCAATGTGCTCCACCCTCCCAGCTGCTCAAGACCGCCCTTGGGCAGGTGTGTCCTAGGTGACCAGGCGCCTGCGCCTCCGGCCGACCGTCATTAAAGCAAGCTGGGTTCGCACAGGCCCCACGCTCACCAGGCTGGCCCCTCGACAAACTTGCCCTGTAGGACCAGAGCCTCAGCACCTTGAGGACAGGTAAGGGGCTGGAACAGGGGAGGTGGGAGCGGGAGGCCCAGCCAGTTCCCTCTCGAGGTCACAGTGTGGTCACCTGTCCAGGTGAGGAGGCTGGACCACACACCCTGAGAAGTCCCGTGGCCCCCGCCCTGCACTGCCCTCCCCCCCCCCCCCCCCCCCCCCGCTTATTCCCTACCGGCGAATGGGGAGGGGCCATCTGCCACGTTTCTGCTGGGGAGCGCCGTCCTCTGGGCCGTCACACCCCAACACGTGATGGAGCCTTTTGGAGCGCAGCAGGGACGGGGGTCCGTGCAGAACACGGAGGCCTGGGACGCGAAGTCCCGGGGCCTCACACTGAGCCCTGTGGCACTGATGCCGCCTCTGTGGGCCACAGCACACCCCAGCCCCCATGGGTCACACCTATTTGGGGGCTGGCCCCAGGTGGGCCCTTTGCCCAAAGTCCGAGGAGGACCCCCTCAGAGTGCACGTTGCCCACAGGGTTCCGAGGGCAGGGGGCCAGGCAGAGAGGCACAGGGTGCCGGGGGCAGTGTCTGAGCAAGGCTCTCTGCACCCAGCGATGGCCTGACATCCCCCACCCACAACCCCCTGTGCCAGGAACACACAGGCCAGTGGGAAAGACCGCTGAAACCAAAGAAATCCTAAGGATCACCAAACCAGAACGGTGTCCGGTGCCCGGACGAGGGTCAGGGTGGGGTCTTGTCCCCAAAGGCTCAGGCCTGGGCCCCTGCCCACCTGCCTCCCCGGGGGACAAGCTCCCAGCCGGCTAGATCAGGGAGAGGGGACCGTGTCCCTTGCCGCCCCCAGGCACTGCCCTTGATCCTGCTCTCCCCCAGACTCACCCGGGGCAGGCCACCCAGCCGCCTGAGCAGGGCTGTCCCCACCCATCCAAGTGTGACCCGAGCGGGCCCTGGAGCCAGTGTTGGACACAATGTCCAATGACCTCGGCAGCACGGTCCTGCCCGGTGCCGCCTGGCCCATCACGCCCCTGCCTGGCCCCAGTCCTGCCCTGCCCTCCGGCGGACAGCCTGCCCCTACTGTACCCCGTCCAACCCACCCCCTGACCTCCCCAGGCTCAGGACGAGCTTCAAGGTGACAGGGCCTGGCCTCCTTCCTCACCAGGGAGTCCTTGGCTCTCCTGCAGGTGTGAGCTCACACACATGAGCACGCCCTGCCCAGACACAGCCCTGCAGCCAATGCATGAGCCCTGCAGGGGCTGGGCAGAGAGGGGCCCAGACGTGTGCCACCGGGCCGCTCATCAGCACGCGCGTGTGCAGGCGTGCCCCGGGCCAGCTCTGGTGCACACAGAGGAGCCTGGGGGCTCCTCTCATCCTGCCAGGCACGTCCCTCACCAGGACTGGAGCCAATGTGCCCCAGGCCTCAGGCTCTTCCGGGCACTGGGAGCCGAGGCTCTGTGGTGCCCCGAGGAACCCAGGTAGACGGTCCGGCTCGGAACTTTAAGCGGCGGGCAGCCAAGGGCCGCCTCTGCCCATGTTTGGGCACCTCCGCGGGCTCACCAGCCCAGTGCCTCGGCCAGGAGCACTTTGCAGGCGTAGTCTGAGGTCTGGCTCCAGGAGGCCGGAAGCCTCGAGTCTGGACACCGCTGAGGACAGGTAGACTGACCGGGTCTCCCAACCCACAGGGCCCGCACGCAGCCCCTTCTGTCCCCCCTTCCCAAAGCCTCTCAGACGCTGCCCAGGAAGCCGGACAGGCTGCCTTTCTACGTCACGGGAGAAAAGACCGGTGGCCACTGGATACACACGGCACCAGTCTGGGATCAGGGCCTCCAGACCCCGTAGGCCTGGGGCCCCCTCGCGGTGAGTGAGCCAAGCTCCCCGAGGCCCCCTCCTGGCCGGGCTGGAGCCTCCCCTCCAAGGCACTTGGGCCCCCACCCCAGTGAACCCACTACCCAGTCAGATCTCCCCCACAGGATGGGCCCCGACCCCAGATGGATGCCCCTGCCCTTCCAGAGCTGTGACCATTTGGAGACGGTACCCCCAGCTGCCCCTCTGCCCCAGCAGTCTCCTCGGTCCCTAACCAGGAAGATAAATGCGCCCAAACCTGTCCGAGCCTTGCTGGGACACCGTGTTCCAGACCAGTGGGTAGCGGGGCTCTCCTAGACCAGGGGGCACAAGGGTCGCGTCTCAAGCCCCCGGCCCCTCAACTCACAAAACCTCCTACAGCCTGACCACTCGCAGCCGGGGCAAGTGCCCCCACCCCCCAGAGGTGCGTTCCGCTCTTGGCTTCTGAAGGACGTGGCCCCGGCCTGCTGCTGACACTCCGGCATTGTGGGTTCCCACGTGGGGGGGCAGTGGGGAGCAAAGCTCCGGGTGGGGGTGCACAAAACCCGTCTTTCCCCTGGGCTCCCCCACAAGGGTGCGTGTGCGGGACTCTGGCGGGGCTGGACACACGCGGCTTGCACAGAGAGCAGACAGCGGCCCCCCGCCCCTCCGGGCGCCCCGGCCAGGCCGGCCTCCTCTAGGGCGCAGGAGCGCCCCTCAGGCAGAACCTCCACTGCGGTGTGTGACGGGTGTGTGACGGCCGAGGCCCAGCGCTCCCCGCTTCCCCCCCTCGGCACCTACCACGTCAATGAGCTGTGCGATGGACAGCCCGAAGTGGACGAGAACCACGTCCGAGATGTTGGCCACGGGCCGGGACCACTTGTTGTAGCCGGCGAAGAGCTTCTTTAGCAGCCGTTCCTCTGCGTGGGCCCGGGTCTCCACGTGGCTGCTTGCTGTGGGGACAGGAAGGTGTGCAGCTCAGGGGCGGAAGATGGTGGGCCCACCGGCTGCCCGCTCCAGCCTCCCACCTGGCCCTGGCTTCCTTCCGGTTCCATCCACCTCAGGACATTTGCACATCCTGCCCCACTCCGGCCTCGGTTTCCCTCCTACCCTCTGGGTAAAAGTGTAAGTTCCTCAGGGAAGCCTTTCCAGACCCCTCAAGCACCCTGCACTGGACCCCCAAAACAGACAACTGATCTGGTAAGAGCTGACTGGGGTAAGTCTCCCTGCCAGACGTGACTTCCGGAAGGAGGGGCTGCATCTCCAGCTACTAGCAGACTTCTGGAAACACAAGGTGGGGATAACCACAGGATTCCAGGACATTGGGGACCCATCCAAAGAGGGGGAGGGGGGATGGACAGCCGGCTTCCTGTAGCTGCCGGCAACCCTGAATTACCACCCAGACCCGGACGACCACTCCAGCACCCTGTGTTCTTGGACAGACACGCAGACTGCCTTCCATGAGTCAAGGGTGACCCCCCCGCCCCAACACACACTCTGCTTCCTGGGAGGGGCCACTCTGACCCAGCCCAGCCTTGCTGACCAGTCTGTGATCTGAGGACCTCTCTGTCTCTCCTGGGCACCTGCACTGGGGCCACTGCATCATAAGGGGATTTGGGGAGGGGAACAGGGTACCAGCTCACCTGTAAGTCACACACAGGATGTGAAAAGGGGGTCCACCAACATTCCTAGGTCGGTCTTTGACCGACGGGACCCTTCACTCTCAGTCCAGAGCTCCCCAGCCCAACCTTATTCTTCCTGGTCCCTTGGACCAGGAGGGTATAGCCCACCCCTCACGGGGGAGGCCAGGAGCTTCAATTCCCCCCACCAACCTATGAATAACAAGGTGGCTGCCCAGGGGGTGGGGGGAGGGGAAGGCGGAGGGGGCTGGGACTTAGGCTGTCCCACTGAGCCTGGGGGAGCAGAAAAGGTGCGGGTGGGGTGCGGTCAAGGGCGGGAGCCACCGCTCTGGTCCCCCAAATCAGGAGCAGGCATGGGGGTGTCTGCATTAAAATGTGGCCAAATGGATAAAGAGGGGGAGAGATGGGCCCCGCCTCTCTTTACCCAAGTTGGAGCTTCTGGGTCCAGCTCCCCAAACAGCAGCCCCCACCCCCACCCAAACCTGTCTCCCGCATTCGCGGGCGAGTTAACTCCTTCCTTGCCCCGCTCGGTCCACACCGCAGGACAGCCTTTGCGTCTAGGGTGGGGGAGCCTCCGCGCTGCCCCGTTGCGCGCACCCGCGGCTCGGGACCGCAGCCAGGAGCCTCCCCTTCTCTGGCTCTGGAGAGCCGAGCCCGCCCTGAACTGGACGAAAGGGGGGCCTGTCTAGCGCCCCGAAACTTACCGGGCAAGAAGCCGGCCCCCAGCAGCAGCAGCAGCGGCGGCAGCAGCGGCGGCGGCGGCGCCCCGGGGCCCCCGAGCTCCATGGCGCACCGAGCGGGCTCTAGACGCGGGCGGCTCCCGTCTCCGCCGCGCCCCCGCTCC